CGAACGCCATCGTATTATCCACTGAGCTACTGAGTTCAGATAACCACTAGCTTGTGCAATGAGAAATGTAATTCATTTGTTCTGGTTGTCAAATATTTGTGACCATTTCGATAATAAAATTTAACTACCAAGACTTATTATTATTTATCTAAATAATTGTCAGGTTTCAAGTCAGTAAATTTTTGTCTAATGCAGTAAGACAGTTTTATATCAAGAACAATTGAAATCTACGAGATTTTGAAAGTTTTAAATAGTCTTATCTAAAAATCGGAAAGTATATTTTTACCATTAGATTTTACACTTTAACATTAAAGACAAATAAAATCTAAGTGATTTAGGTTATATATTCCCTTATTCAATCAAATAAATGTACTCAACTTATTCTATTTCCATTTAATCATCCTTATATAATATTTATACGTTTTGTTGCATGTACTTATGATACTAGACAAGCATTCATCTTTAATGTCACCGTAAAGCCATTCAGTATTTGTGTGAAGCTCCTTAAGAGTGCACATACACAACAGTTGTAGGGTCTGAACCCAGGTTATTCATGCTTTGCAGAAAGTGCTTAATCTTCATACCACTGAGTTATCATTCACTGGTTGTCAGCTCACCTCAATAACTCACTACGGCGTTCGTCATGTGATAGAATGGTTACGTGAGTTCCTACATTACTAAATGTTTAATAAGAATAATGGGAGCTAGAAGGGTGGTCATAAATTCTTTTTACATCTTGGAACACAATCCACCTGATCATAAATGAATATTACAAGAAAATAACATAAATTACATATCTTACAAAGTTGGGTAAAAGATGCAGTATAAACTAACTGAATTTTAAGAACGATATAAGATACAACAACAACTTACAAGTCAAGAGATAGCTAGAACTAGACAAAACTAGAACTACATAACTGCATAAATAAAACTGCGTAAAAACACTGTAAACTAACTCATTAAAGAAAAAGAAACTAATTCCCCCAAAACAATTAACCATGTTTATATTGCCCTACTTATTAGTGTTTCCTAGCAATCATTATTGACAGAAAGGTTAACTAATATTCAATCAAAAATTAATATTTTCTTATAAGGCAACTAATTATTCCGCATTTAAAGCCAAAACTATTGATTTATTCCATAGAAAAATGTGTACTACAAGTATCTGAATTCATTTTTGGTAAATAATTTGAATGAAAATATGAAGTTGATGTAGAATGTGATATTTACGAAGTTCAATTGTTGTCTTTTTTTTGGAATCTATTACGAGAAACTATAAATCTGAATAACAATACTCAACTTAATATGACTTAATATATCTTGGTAATAATTGAAATTCTTTTGCTATAATTCAATTTAATTAATCATTTCATTATTGTGCATGCTATTTCAAAGTTTACACACGTTAGTTATTAAATAAATATATCACTAAATCAAACGGTCTAAACGCTTACGAAAAAACTGGTTGATTAGTGAAAATCGATAGAAGGTAATTTCATCTGGTATGAAGTATCTATAAAAGCCTCAGAAAACGTTCTACAAAAAAAACTAAAAATAAGTCAGTCACTTATAAATAGTAAATCCGCTTGTTAATAATTGTCATTTGGTCACCATTTACCTGAATGTATACTGATCAATACTCAATTACAACGCAAAAATACATTATGATTTTCGATTAAAACAATAGTCCAGGTATATTTCAAGATTTCAGGTCGGTAACAACTAACTTAACATTATTTTATAAACGAATTATCCACGTGAAACCGTGTCATATTTTGGTCTGACTACCTAAAGTCTTTCTCTATTCTTTCTGCATGATGAATCGCAAAAACCGGTTGGCGAACTTTGTGAAGCATGTTAACTTTTGTCTTTAGGAGATATTCACACGTTATTAAAAGTTGAATTAATATATATAACACCTCAGACAAACATAAATCATGGAGACAGTACCAAGCACATACGTTATCGGTCCACGTTACAATACCACACTAACATTTAGGTCACCAAAGGTGACGTAGGTTGGCAAAATCCAAACGAGCTTTACGAATCCGTGCTGAGATTTCGTCAGACACCAACCCATTAGGGCTGATCAGACTTCCAAGATAAGTGAAGTTGTCAACGCGTTCGACTACTTCACTCCCTATCCTTAGTTCAGGTGTTGACGCAGACCAGTCCTGAAGCAACAACTTGCATTTAGAGGGAGAGAAGCGCATCCCAAACATTCTGGCATTGTTGCTTAGTGCTACCAGAAGACTCTGCATTTTGTCAGCGTCTTCACCAAACAGGACTATGTCATCTGCGTATTCTAAGTCGATAAGTGGACCTCCTGGAAGGAGATCAATACCCGAGAATTCAGTCGACGAGAGTGTTATTTCCATCAATAGGTCTATGATGAAGTTAAACAAAAATGGGGAAAGTGGACAGCCTTGACGGACACCACTTGAGGTTGCAAAAGTAGATGACAGTTCGCCATAAGCCTGACTCGACTAGTAGTGTTCGAGTAAAGAGCCTTCACAAGGTTTATGTACTTCTGAGGTACGCCTTTCAATGACAGACACTGCCACAGAATCTCGCGGTCTACAGAGTCAAATGCTGCTTTTAAGTCAAGAAAGACCACCATCGTCGGACGCCGATAAGTATGCCTGTGTTCTAGAACCTGACGAATGGTGAATATGTGGTCGATGCAGCCACGACCAGGTCTAAAGCCAGCAGTTCACGAGTCTTAGTTAGGCGTTGATAATTATCGAGGCTAGTATTTTAGATACTATGTTTGTTAAACTAATCCCTCTGTGGTTGTCACAGGATGATTTTGACCCTTTCTTATATATTGGGACGATAAGTGATTGCGACCAGTCAGATGGGATAACGTCTAACTCCCAGATCTTAGCTAAAATATTAGTCAACCTAATCGCTAAAATTGGACCACCATCCTTAAAGACCTCTGGAGCCAATCCATCTGGACCAGCTGCCCTTCCTCGTTTCAGATTAACTATAGCCTTTGAACTTCAGCAAGAGTTGGGGGACCTACTTCAATGTTCCATTCACTGTCTGGGAATGGAGGGTAGTTGTAGAGTAGCTGAAGGCCAGCTGAACTGTTCTCTAAAATGTTCCGCCCATCGTTCTAAACGTCTGGACTGGGAGCAGATGAGAGTATCATCTTTTTCCGAAATAATCTCACTTACACTTGACTTATTAATTCCAGTTTCTTTTATTAGTCTGTAAAGCTGTCTTGTGTTCCCTATAGTCGCCGCCTTTTCCATCTCTTTTGCTTTCGTTGCCCACCACTGCTCACGGTCGTTCCTTAGACTTTTTCTTAACCTAGATCTGATTTGTTGTCGCTCTTCATCATGTTCGGAACCTGATGGGACGAGTTTGCGAGAATCCATCAGTGTGATAGACTTTGAAGAAATCCACTGGTTCTTTGTAACTCTGTGGTTTAAGTCACTAATAGATGTCACTGCTGTTTCCACAGCTGCTTGTATATCTTTCCAAGCAACATCTGGGTCAGCCTCGTCTTCAGAACTACCTAAGTGTGACCTCAGTTGTTCCTGGAACCTACTTTTGGTTTTCTCGTTACTCAACTCAGTTCTAACGGGTCTTTTTAATGTGGCTTTTTTGCGTCCAGTGAGGCGCAAGCAGATGCGTGCCCGTATTAGGGCATGGTCGGAGTCCAAGCAGGTACTCCAGAATGAGCGACAATCTTCTACCGACCCTCTCCAACGATGACTGATGGCAATATGGTCTATTTGAGTCCATCGTTGGTTTGGTGTAGGGGGTCGCCATGTTAGACGATGTCTCTCCTTATGCTTAAAATTTGTGTTTGCTAAAAATAAACGATTGTCTGAGCATAGCTGCAGCAGACGATCACCATTATCTGTTCGCTGTGTCGGAATACTAAAATACCCACCTAAATGCCTTTCTGTTTGGTTTAAACCACCTATCTGAGCATTAAAGTCACCTGCTACGAGTACTATGTCTGAGCGTTTAGCTTTCTGAAGAAGTTCGGACAGCTTTCTGTAAAATTCATCTTTCACTTCATCTGAGCTGCAGTCAGTGGGAGCGTAGGCAGAAACGACAAAAAGGCAACGACGTGTGTCCCTAACCGCAGCGTCAAATGACTTTGTGTCATTATATTTGTCTTTAAATAATAAGTCACATCAACTGTCTAACCAGGACAAAAATTGTTGTTCGTATCAATGTGTACATAGAAAGAAACAAATCTGGTTTTGTTAGTATGCACCCCACCTAACATTACCCTGATGTAATTTTAACGTTTTTTCTGTAGTTAGTTGCTTGTTTTCAATCAACAGTTGCGTTTACTTCACACATAAATATTATATTACACAATTACTTCATTTTTCCATGATCCATTCTGATTGAATGTATAAAAAAGAAAACTTGGAGATATGTCATCCGTTCTCTTGTAAAATTAAAATATATTGCAAATTTGAATGGATACTATAAAATTTAATATAAAGTGTAATACTGTCAATTAGATTGAGGCAATTCTGCCGACTGTCAACTCCTTATTTTAGAAAGTAGAGGTTACTTTTTCAAGAAAAAAAATATACACGACACGCCCTAGGCGTATAAAAATTTAACAGTTATTAAGCACAAAATGTAGTATCATTTCAAATAAAAAAAGATATTTACAATAGTTTTTACGTGAGCAAAAATTAAGCCAGTTGTCGTCATCGCTATCACAAACAACATGGCGCCTGAGAAAATTAGAAAACGCAGTACAAATGAATTCGGATGATATGCAAGAACAAATGAAATGAATATGAGGATAAAGTATAATTCAGTGCAAAATTTATTAAATACACAAATTATTGAATGAATTCAATAAAAATTGATATGTACGTAAAACAATAAATCAAAAGAAAAAATGACAAAAACCAGAGATTTGAAAAAAAGTAAAGAAATGAGCAAGAAAGTCAATATGCACAAATATATTATTTTATAGAAGAAAAGAAGTGGTGTAGTAATTGCAACTAATATTAGTAGATTGAATAGATTTCATCCATCATAGATTGTAATATCAACCTATAGGATTCTTGTTTTTCTTCAGATGTATCCAGTGAATCGTTTAAATCCGAATGTTGTTCTGGACCTCGACCAAAAAATCGTATCAGTTTACGATGGACACTAAAGAAAGAAATAGTGGAGCCAATAATAATTAAAATTATTTTAAAAAAGATAATATACAATTAAGGTTAGAAAGGAAATGATAATCGCTATCTACCTTAACTTAGCAGATGTTATATAATAAGATTTCACTTAGTATCTCAATTAACGATACCAATTAATTAAATTATTTTATTTTCCATGTGGGTGGTCAACAAATTGTCATTGGTAATTTAGTACATTTTACCCTTAGTAACATGCACTCTGGGTATAAAGTTAGGTACCTATAATGTTAGATAATAGTCAGTCAGTCATATGCGACGAAAAACCTGTTACATATCAGATAACTAATCTAACTGATGTAATGCTAATAACAAACGTTCTGCGCCATAGGCAAGATGTCTATCTTCCAACCAATAGGCGAATTGCATTACGCAATAGTTCTCTCTGTATTCCTTAAACTTTAAACATAGTCTATGAACTTAGAGAGAAAACGTGTGCTGTAGGCTTTTTCTTAGACGCAGTACTTGACTTTCATGGAGTTACCGAGTAAATAATGTTGAGATCAGGCATAGGATAACAGACGAATATGGTAAAACAGTTGGTGAGGTTGCAAATCTTCACCAACTGAAGTGGTTAGGATATGTATTGGGCATCCTTAGCCAGCACCTAGCTCGATGAACGATGCTAGAGTAAAATTAATTCCAAAAAAAATAGGTGAGCACAAATTAGGACATGGAATCATCCCCCCCCCATGAATTGCATTATTGTTAGTCTGAAATGTATCAGTAGATGGAGATTACCCAGTTGAAGAGTATCCAGTAAATGCAGACACCGGGTGAAATAAATCGGAATGACTCAGATGCAACCACTCTTTATCTCACTCCAGCTCTTGAGTAATAGTATTCCTTCATTTAATCCAGAATATTTCTTCTACTTGAACCATATTATTAATATTTAGCTTTCTTCACTACTATTGATACTATTATTATTTTAACTCACTAACTATTCAATTATCATTTTCTTTTATCAATTGACTGATACGATATACGACAACTTGATATGATGCAAAACTATGCTAGGATATATTCTATTTATGATTGAGTAATCGATTGACTGGATAACTAATTACTATCAGTATTATCATACAATAAATGTTTGATACAATAAAGCACTGAGAAATTCTCCATATAAAATAAAATGAGAAATATTATGAAGAAATGTGAAACCGAGAAAATTCCGAAACAAATAAACTAACTTAACGAGAATAGTATATGTCTCAATTTTTTTTAAAAAAAGTTCAACAACATAACCAAGATAGATTTTATTCAGTTTGAAGAGATAGAATGTTCTGTTTCCGTTGGTTCCTATTCCAGCCTATATTTAGAATTTTTTTAAGAACTGACTATTTATTATTCATAAAATGAAGCATGATCGCTCTAACATAGAAAATGGAGAAAAAAACCAGAAAGAAAATTTATATCACCCCCTTGAACTTAACACTAATTATTTCGTCTATTATATGTTCTCATTCCTGAAACTTATTCTTCACATCTCTTTGATGTATTTTCTAATCGGTTTAAGTTTTTTTTATGTCAAAGCTTGTGCAACAAACTAATTTATTCGCTACTCCAACTTCAATACACTGAAAGAAACTATTTTCATTCGTTTTATTCTCTTTAGCCGTTAACTACAATCAAAAGATTAGGTTTGTGTAAAAGTTGTTTTCTTTATAAAGACCTAAGAAGAACTGAAGTTGAATATTCAATTGATTATTAATTAGAAAGTTTTATCAATTGTCATTGAACATAGAATCATAATCAATTAATCAATACAAGAAATGAATTAAATAATCAATAACAAATGAAAATCTATTGAAAATTAGTGAACAAAATTTACTTTGAATAAAGTAACAACAATGAAAATGCGCTAAAATTAATTAAACAAAATTTCCCTCGAAAAAGCTTGAACCAGATTACTAGGCAAAACATTGAATTTACTTCAAATTTATTAGCTGAAATTTTATAAAGACATTCTTCCTCAATTAACGTTTAATTTCTATTTCTTATGACTAACTCTTCTAACTTGAGTAAGGTTTTTTTTTAAAGTCCTAAGATAATCACAAAATTATAACTATTTTGTTAACAATGGTAACATTTTACTAAAACTAATAACCACAAATTCTTTTTTTTCTAACTAGATTTTTTACATAACCTTAGCTTTATTCTGTTTAGTTGCTTGTACTTTCAGTTCAATAAATTTCTGCATACCTGAATTTCATGTTTCCGTCACATACATTCGTTGTGAACCGCTTGTTATATCAAATTCCCTATCATCTGTCTTTTCGGTAATTTTAACCATTATGTGCTGTGTTATATGCTAGTTTCCGTCATCGATTACGAAGAGAACCAACTGTATTAGATATTATAGGCCCGTACTGAAGTTAAAATAACAAAGTTATGAACCACATTCCTCTTAAATTTACGGCGTCGTTTACGAGTTCATTTTTTGCATAGTTCTGGAGTTATCGGAATTCATAGTCATAAACCTAACGTTTGTGATCGAATTAAGCTTGTACAACCACTCTTGGCGATTGATATAAGAACAGATTTAAACTAAACTTCTATTCACTCCACTCTTTTGAAAAATTTGTAATTTCTTCCACTTTTACGCTCCTACATATTTTCAGTATTCGTTTATTGATTAGCATCGTGGATGCGCACTGCTGAGGAGTTTCATACTAGGAAGAAACGGCCGTCCAGTGCTTCCAGGTTTTCCATGGTGAATTCAATAGACTCATGATTTCAATCTGTGAAATTTCTAAAATCTACACAAACCCCTTCTGACAATTAAATTTATTTATATAGAAAACTTCATATTATGAGAAAACTCATATACTATTATTTTATGTTAAAACAAGTAATGAGAACAAAATAATTTGAATTTGAATTGTTCGATAAGCAAAATTATCATGTGTTACTTAGTGAAAAAGAAGTGTACTTTAGATACACGTTACTATGGTTACATATCTTTAGTATCCATCATTCATCATGTTACAGTAACATCAATTAAGCTAATCAATAGGCAATTTTGTAGAAATCTTCACAAATTAATTGATATTTAGAACAATTAGTCCCTTTGATAAATTTCGATAATGATATTAGAAGACGAAGATTATCAGAACTATGTGATATATTAGCGCAATACATTTCGAACAATCTGTATAAAAGTGTAAAAGGGCGTATACTAAGGTTTATTGAAGCCTTAGCCAAACGAAAATTCAAACCCCTTTATGTGTTCAAAAACAGTTTGTTCTTACCTTAAACCTACCCTGGTAATATTGACTTATTATACAGAGTGATTAGGTTTCGCTTTGTGTTCACATTATTATTATTATTACTCTTATCATTATCTTTATCTCCTCTTACCCCGTTTCCTGTCTAGTTGACCTTTTATTTTTATGGATAAATGCTCTTAACAAGTATATGTGTGACCAGATTGTTCTTAATGTATTGCGCTAATATATCACATAGTTCTGATAATCTTCGTCTTCTAATATCATTATCGTAATTGATATTTCAAACCTAGCAACACTGAAAACTAGGTCAGAAACTAAACCCCGATAAGAATGTAAAGTAGAAAATGTTTGAAAACAAACAAATAGGTAACCGAAACAACACTTCCTAAAAGAAGTATGAGAAATATTTTCAAACAAACTTAGTTTCATTAATTAGTAACAAGTGAAATAATAACCTTGTCCCTCAATGCTAATCGTTTTTGATAAACTATATATATTTCCAAAGATTGAAAGTTTATTAGTAAATGAATTCAACTTACAAGCAAATAATGTTGGATTTTTTAATTAATTCTCCATCAGAGCACCAAATTGTTGTTTTCTTTTGACTTACAGTGTGATATGAAGAATTTGGCTCAGACAATGACGAAGTTTGTAATGATTCAATAATTGAATCATCATTGGCATTGTGAATTATTTGTAAATTATTCTGTTTATTACATAAACAGTTTTGTTTATTATTATCCAACTTTTTTAATTTTGATTTATTTTGTGCAACAAATCGAAAAGCGCATACTTTCATAACACTGATAAATGGAAAATTAAAAGGATTTTCCTGAGGCGTCATATGACGATTCCGCGCTATACTCATAAGATATCGAATGAATTGAACTTTGGAACATTTATGCACGAAAACTAAGTCCAAACAACCATCACTTAAATGTGCCCAAGGTGCAGGACCACAGACAGCTAGTGCACATCGACAACTTTGAACAAATGCATTAATTGCTAAAACGTGCCTCGAATGGTATGCCAATGTTTAATTGGTTTAAGTGAACTCTGACTTAGTGCTAATTGATTATCATGTAATTGTTCTACTCCAATGTTAGAAATTATTTCTTTTTCGTTTGACATAATATTGCACGGATTAAAATCAAGGGAATTTCTACTGAATCTTTTATCTAAGGATAAAATGAACAAAATTTTTAAAAACAATTAAAATGAGTTTATTCAATTCACATTGGTATTGAGAAAACTCATAAGATACGAGAAATTTTTTACAAATAAAATTCAAGAGTTCATTTATGCCTCCCCAAGTGTAATGCCTAAGTGAAACAATTTCCATTAAATAGACCCTGGCTTTGAATCTAGTTCAGTTTGGGTAGCCCACAAAGGCCGAGGGTGGAGAGTCCGCTCACCCTCTCGAAATACTGTCACATGACCACGCGTATACAGCCACTGCCAGGGAAGTCCTACTCACTACCTTCTCGTTGTGAGATGTTGTTTGTGAAATCGAGATGAAAAGCGAATGTCCGACGCTTTAACTGAGTTGGTGGACACGGAGGATCCACCTAGGGAAGTTGGAAAACCCTCATTCCAAACCTTCACTGTATATGGGATCCAGAATCCTGAGGAAACAAACGGTGTACGGTCACTGGTTACCATAGGACGGCATCACCTTGTAGATTAGACCTCTAAGTCAAAGGTTCAGAGGTGACCCCCCTAAGAAAACCACCTGCTTTGGTTTGAGCGACCAGGCAGTATTCCAGCCCTCATACATGCTGGATAGTTTTGTGGCACATGTATTCGATGCCTTCGTGTACCGATCTTTATGGGTTTAAATAAATAAATACAATTTAGGTAACTGAGTCTTATCATTAACATGCCTATAATACATTTGAATGTTCTTTGTATAAACATGTAAATACCAAGACGTTAGAAGCAATAATAAGTCAGAAATGTTTACATCATGCACTGATCTTGGTTAAATAACTATTAAAAACTAGAACGTGTGGGATAGCTTCCTCGTCTTAGTATGGGACCCCAAAACACTGCGCGTCCACAACCTCACTGGAGATCGAACCCAAAAACCTTCAGTCCAAAAGTGGTGAGTTCTTACTATTTCAGTTACTGAGCCGGCATCCAATAGTTTATATGTCTAACTTGAAACAAATCGCAGTTGATTTCCTCTTGATTAGATGTGATAGATAAATGAAGTGAGAATTACATTTCCATTAATAAGACCTTCTATGATTTAATTCGATTTGTTACTATGAAAAAAATGTTGAAATGTCACTAATACAAATTCGTAAAACATTCTGATGGTTATTATTAAAAAGGGGTTTTGTGAAGACTGTAGTAATTTAATGGTTGAGTTCGTGAGTTAATTAAAGCTAGAGCACATAGAAAACCTGAAAACACTTGACAATCGTTTCGTCTTAGTACGGTACTCCTCGATAGTGCACACCAACGACCCCGCCCGCACGACTCGAACCCGGAACCTTCTGTCTGTCGCGCGAGCATTTAACTGCTAGACTGCAACTAATCTACGAAATTGCGCCGCCATCAGCCATTGTCTTCAGTGAGTTACTATTTCACAACAGACCCCGTTGTTGTTGACCCACAAACCCAACAATTAAATTACTACAATGTCCATAAAACCCCCTTCTGATAATAATCATCATGTGCTCACTAGTGAATGGCTTTAAGAGGTATCTCCTGAAGTTCTAGTGAGAAACCGCGATCAGTGGAGTCCAACTGGGTCTGTTGTGAGATAGTAACTTATTGAAGACGATGGTGGACGGTGGCGCAATTTCGCAAACTGGTTGCAGTTAGACATTAACACCGTTGGATGCCGCCTCAGTGGTCTAGAGGTTAAGCGCTCGTGCGCCAGACAAAAGGTCCTGTATTCGAAACCCCTGAGCGAGGTCATGGATGCGCACTGCTGAGGAGTAGTGTACTAGGACGAAACGGCCGTCTTGTGCTTCCAGGTTTTCCATCATGCTCCAGCTCTAATTGCCTCATGAACTCAACCATTAAATTACATTCTGATGGGTTTAATTGATGAAGATATAGTAGTATATTGCATGGCACACTTTTCTCACACGGTAGATCATGACAACATTGAGAATGTATCAAAAAGGATTTTTTTCAAAGGAGCTATTTTAATAAATAATAGGATAAGGAATATTTTTAATGAGATCATAAGTAAAAAACAAAATGTCATAAGACTGTAGATTTTTGAAAATCTAAATTAATTTTTGTGAAAAGTGATAATACTTTTCCCAGCTTACATAACAGATCGACATAATTTAGACAACCATTGAAAACCAGGATGAGTCAGATAGTTTGTTCCAGTTTATGACTCCGGAACAGCATACATAAGGTCGTCTAAAATCCAACCTAGAACATTTAGGTTTTATGCATATATTATACAATTGAACTACTGATTTGCACTCTGTTTTGCATTCCTGACTTAATTAAATGTACAATACAGCACCACTAGTATCTAGCACCATCTCTGATTGATAACTGTCTTTATGAGAGCATGATTCACTCCATGGATCACATTTGTCTAATCTCCTTTGGTTTTCAATAATTTCTTATTTGATATCAGTTCGTCGCAAAAATTATGCAGCACAGATTTACTAAATGAGAATTATTAAAACTGGCATAACCCCTACAAAACCACACAATTTCGAATAATGACGCAACAGTGAATGTAAGTTCAAAATAACTTTAGGCCGAACTAGCTATATACCTCTCCCTTCCGATGACCTTTAAACAGTTGAGATCAAATGAAGCAGAAGTTGTAGTACCACTCTCCAACTGACGATGACACAGTGATAAACGTGTGTGCATTTACACAAAATTAGGCGCATCCTTGAGTATTAGCCATTAAAGATGCATGCAGTTTAAAAACTCAAAATAACGATGTTTGCAACGAATTCTGGAAAAATAACCCATCCTCAGGCCGAATGAACAAAACGAGTATAGGAAAATATATGGAAATCACAACTACTATAATAACTGAAATCTAACTCACCAAATTTAAAACCAGATAAATGAGAGTTGAAAATTTTACGACCATCAATGTTCGATGAAATACTCAAGCCTAGATCAGAATCCAATGATTTCTGATTGATTAGTACTCGTGAATTACTTACACTTTGAGTACTACCATTATTTAAACTAGATAGTGTACTAGAAAAATCACTACTATCTCGAATATTCATTGAGGAATTCAAGGGCACATCAAATTCCGTTTCATAATGTTTTATACTAAATTTATTCAGTGAATAATCGACAGGCAATGAATCGTCAGTATGGTGATAAATATTTGATTCACAAACGGGACATCTAAATGAAAAGAATTTAGGTACGTAAACATATAAGAAAATAGTGTATACAAATAAACGGAAAAAATCATATTCAATGAAAAAGATTTTTCTAGGAAAAAATTGATAACTCAAACCATAAAGTAATTAAATTTGATATTGTATTGAATTAAAGTAGCGAATGAAGAAAGTAAGTAGTTAATATGGCGAAAATATAATAAACTAGTTAATCTTATTACCATACCAATAATGTTATCAAAGAAAGATCTCACATCATTTCATGGGAGAGATGATATGGCGAGCAATAGCTTAATCAATCGAAATGTGAATGACATATGAAATTGATTTTTCGTAAATGTGTGTGACATGTATTCATCACATCTTAAAAAGTATTATGGACCCCTAACTACATAATATGGTAAATATGTATCCACATAGTAAGTTATTGAATTTTATTGTTAAATACAACTCAGTTCAATTTAGACAAATTCGACTGTTAATCTAACTGTAAACAAATCATATAAAAAGTAGTACATTCATAAATCCTTTTTTTGACTTATTGTGGAAGTCAAATAAGTCTTTGCTTTCACATTTCGTGCCTTTTCTCTTGTGTTCAAATTGCCGTGTAGATTCAATTTAGGTTTATTAGAAACGGTTAAGAAATCGAATCGTGTGTTTATTTAGTAAGATTTATCCAAAGTAAAGTTGACTAATGGATCAATTAAAGGCATACATATTCAATTGAATATTACTCAACGCTTGATGAAGAAAAGAAACTGAACGACAAAAACTGGTAAATTACCAAGGTAAAAAGTAAACTATCGAAAACAAATAAATGATTGTATACAATTAAAGTTTCAAACTCTTCTCTTCTAAAGATCAAAAATGTCAGCAATTTATGTTCAATATAAACTGAACTAAAATATAATTAATTTTCAATAAAAAATAAATTACTTAAGTTATCTAGTAAATTTATGGAACTTATTATACTATTTAATGACTATTACAATTGTTAAAAAGCGGTATGAAATAAATATTATAAATAATTAGATAATAATAAACATTAATCCATAAAATATTTGACAAATCTTAATTTTATTCAAATACATTCAATAAAAATGGAATTCAGCGAAGAAAATTTTCTTTTCGACGAAATCATTTACTTAAGCTTATACATTCGCATTTATAGTTATATGGAAAATATATATCTATAGAAGGATAGAAAAGATCGCACCATAAACATAATCGAGATATCCAAACGCTTCTCAGAACACTAACCGGTATGGCTTTTAAAAGGAGAATGTAAAACAATTACTAATTCAATACAGGAGCATTTAATGAATTGTGAACACATCGCTCCAAAAGTCTTCTTTTAAAGTAATCTATATAGTCAGGAAAATTGGATTGAAGGGAAGTCGAATCAATATTTTATGCACTGCTGGGGCATTGGATATCCATGATCTCAAGCCCAAACTTTGAGTGCGAAAACGATTCGTCCAACCTCTCATCCTTCCTTGGCCCTAATTCCCTTTAGTGGTGTTTTTTTTTCATTTTTATTTGATTATTGTTGACTTTTTAAATTATTGTTTTGTAATTTTAATCTAAACAGTTATTATTATTACCTTAAACAAGTTTTCCTGATTATTATTCAGTTTTTATCACTATGACCTTAATGCTTGTCGTTTTTCTGAATATCTGTGAGTTGGACAATTATCTGACCCGTAAATTATTTTCATCCTTGATTATTGCGCAACCTCATTTGATAATAAGTCTCGACTATATTTATGATGCAATCTTTTCTATCCTTCTATATATATATATATATATATATATAATATATATATAATATATATATATATATATATATATTCCATATAACTAGAAATACGAATGTATAGCTTAAGTGAATGATTTTGTCGGAAAGAAAGTTCTCTTCATTGAATTCTCTTTATTTTTATTCAGTGACACAATGGATTATTTTAATTATCCAAATACATTCATTTTTTTGGTATTCCATTTGAATTTTCTGAGAAAAAAAGTTTTTTACAATGTATTATAACTGTACAGAAATAAATATACATTTCTTTATTACAAATTAAAACGAACTATTATTTTGAAATAGTTCTTCTTAGTAACTGTTTCTAATTGGTAAACTAACGAATATTGGACAGTTGTTTCATCTTCAACCGTAAACTAAGTTAGTCTTCATAACTAGTTAAATAAATAAGGATGTACTCATCAGTCGGATGGCTGAGATATTCATAAATTTCTGGTGAGAATTCGTGACTGGAAGAGACATTCATTACGGCGGAAAATGGATGGTGATTGTACTATACTAGGAATCGATTGAAGTTAAAAATATGAGCCAACAGATGTCACTTGCTGAATAATCTAAAGATAATGACCTTGTTGTGTGACCTGAAGATTCTAAAGAGTTTGATCCCTGATGCAGTTATGGATATACATTGTTGGGACGTCCAAAATAAGGACGAAACAGTTGTTCACTTTTTTCTGCTCTTCAACGACTCAGTAGCTGAAGTTAGTCAATAACGAATACCACCACAAAACTGAACCAATCTTCATAACGACCATTTTGTTGGAGAAAATGTTAACGTCAACTGATGAGCTTTACAAGTTATATGTCATACAAACACTTTGCCTGATAGCTAATAACAATAATTCATAAATAATAACCAGACAAACGCAACAAAATGTCTTTTAAAGTAACAAAAGGAGGGAAAGATTACAGGAAAATTAAAAGGCTTTTGGTCGTATTATTTCTTGAGCTCGACGGTTTCGCTATAAAACATTGACTGTCGTTCTGGACGACGTCATCAGAATTTACTCCAAGTAGAATTCTGTGGTTCAATTAATCCATACGCTCCAAACCAACGTATTCTGATGAACTTCTCTGTGAGTTGTCGTTTATCAGAAGTATTCCCAGCTTCATTTGTGAAATTATGGTCTTTTATGATATAATAGCTTTACTCACTTCAACAAAAGTAAAACTCGCCAAGAATACCACAACATCACAGTTGTTCAGAAACGAAAAACTCTGAGAACAAACGAAAACACAACGAACATATGGTGTATGCTACTTATGTCTGTCGATATAAATAGTATTTAACACTAATCAGAATAGGAATGCATGGTAACAGAAGGCTATGAAGGTCAACTTGAGGAAAACAGAAGCAGAAATATAAAGGAAATGTGACTTGGAAGAATCATACAGAATGTGAAGGACAAATGATGAAACTATGCAAATGAAGTAGTCATGTATGGTTCTCGTAGTTTACCAAGAGATTTTATAATTCGGTATTTAAATAAACTGGTTGTCTCCACCTGTGATCTCATTCATTACAATAATGTTGAATAGAACTTATCGAGCTGTGTCTTACAACATATTTCCAATTCAATAAACAAATTTACAATTAGACTAAATGAACTACAATAAGACCACAAATATCAGGAATGATCGCACAAGCTGTTATGCAGACTCGAAACTACATTTCTATCAATAATTAAACCAAATCTTTGAATGAGTTAAGTTGGTGACATGTTTGTTACCTGTAAGAGAAAATATCACCAAAATGATTAGCGACATTTTCGAAGAGACCAATTTTATAAGAGAAAAATCAGAAAACAAAATCCAATTCTTGTATATGTCAATCAACAAAATACACGCAGGAACTTTAGAAACCCGAATATACAAGAAACTAAGCCAAACACATGACGTACTAAGTTACAATGCTCAGAGCTCAACAGAACACAGGAGTATTTATGTACAGACATATTTCAAGAATAATAAAGCAAACTGAAGCACTCCGATAACAAGGAAAATTAGAGAAACTCATCTTCTATCCATCCTGAGTAAACACGATTATCCTCACAAATTTATCGAAAAGAGTCTAGAAACATCAGCAGAAACAAGAAAAAAAACAAATTGTTTTACCATATGTGAGTGATGTGTGGGAGGAGGAAGATAATGATTGGTTGCTTGCTTAGCCAGGCTAGTAGATAGTCTGATAGTTATTAGATGAGTTATGTATTTTCTTACCATTATAATTATCGTGATTGTTGTTGGTTTTTGGAGCGGAAATATACTTACGTTCTAGTCAGGCTACTGACGTGCTCTTGATCTGAGTTGTGTTGAAGTCCTGTAGAATAGACACTGGAAGGGTATCTAGTGTAGATATTCGTATAAAATGAATTAACGTCCCATTCGTGTAGGCGGGGAAAACTGAGGCTCATAACAATGAAGTCTCAGAAATTACCACAAGGATTTTAAAACCTTTCAGAACCGTACTCGATTACAAGTTAATAGAAACACTTTATTTCGTTTTATGTAAACCAGAAGACAACGAAAGACAAATGCAATACCACCCACAAAATAAATCAGTATGAAATTAGTAAAACTTGAGAGAAAATCATACTACGTTCTACAAGTGTAATTATAATACAAATGCATCTACAATCAACAACCCGTTTTAGACATGAATGACAGACATTATTTCCATCTTTATTTATCAAAGAGAAGTGATAATCACCTGCTTAAATAAAAATTTATTAATAAATATACATTGATTATTTTTTCCGTACCCACTATTACAAACAATACCGTTAGATGATAGGTTGTTTGGATCCGAACACGGTAGAAAGATATTTCACCATGATATGATGCGTGTTGTAAAAGTGTCTTGAAGCCTATATACAAATGAACAACATGTGAAAAAAAATTCAAACATTGAACAATTGTGCTTTAAAACATACAGTATATAGAGACAGTGCTGTTAAAACAATGCCGGTCAGTCAGTTAATTATAGATCAGATGAAACAAAGGTATGTGTAAATGGATCGGTTCGAATGGTCACACTTGGAACAATAACACATTGAAAATTGATAAAAATGAAAAGCAAAAAGATAAAAGTCATTAGGTGGAGAGTTGACAATTTTTAAAAAGTATAATCCGAAACTAACGAATGAAATCAGTGACATTGTATTTTCATACCATGTATTATTTTAACTTCCTTCTACTCACATCATTTCACAAAACGTCAACGAACCTATCATAAGAGCTTAATTATTAATAGTATTTGAAATTGTAGAGTACTAAGCCGTAGAGAGATTATATGACAAGAATAAAAAGAGCAACGACCAATTAATGATTTTCTTTTGAGATAAGTTACCGATCAATGTTAGACCACCACTGAAAACCTGGAAGCATTGGATGGTCGTTTCGTCATAGCATAGGACTCTTCAGCAGCGCGCATCCACGATCCCGCACACGGGACTGGAACTCAGGACCTTCTGTCTCAAGCGAACGCTTAACCTCTAGATCGTTGAGCCTGTATCCAACGGTGTAAATATCTGATTGAAGTTAGACAGTATACACTGAATCTTACTGGTTATACTACAACTAACTTTCTTTTGTAACACTGGTAATAAAAAACGATGGTGAATTGTTGAAGATACCATTTACCAGTTTAAATATATGCATATCACCACAAATTACAAGTCATATACTCATAATTTATATGTAACCTGATATATATGCTCACCTGCCAAGCCGGCGGTCCGGGTGCCCGGAAATGCCCTGGTACGGCCGAGGATGGGGAGAGTTTGCTCTCCCTCTCCAAATGTCGTCACATGGCCACGCGTATACAGCCACTACCAGGGAAGTCCTACTCACTGCCTTGTCGTGGCAGGAGTGTTGTTTACGAAATTGAGATGACGAAAACCGAATGTCTGACACTTTAACCGGGTTGGCGGATACTGAGAGTCCACCTAGGGGAGTTGGAGAACCCTGATTTCAAACCAGTGGTGCACATGGGATCTAGGATCTTGAGGGAACAAATGGCGTATGAACCTATTGTTGGTCACTGGCTACCATGGGACTGCACCACCTGACGTTTCTCCATTGCCTTGTGGATTGGACCTCTAAGTCAAAGGTTCGGAGTGTGAGTCCCTAAGAAAACTACCTGCTTCGGTCGGGGCACCCGAGTAGTATCACAGCCCCCACACGAAAACAACGTCACCCGTGTGGCGCATATTTATTCGGCACCCCTTTGAACCAATATTTGTGTTCAAATAATAATAATAATATTATTGTTATTAATAATAATAATAATAATAATAATAATAATAATGATGATGATATATATGATGATAAATAATAATAATAATAATAATAATAATAATAATAATTGCACGATGAATATTTTGAACGATGTAAATCATAAAAACAAAGAACAACAGTGACTAAGTGGTTGAGGCTTTCAACTTTCCCTCAAAAAGTCACTGCTTCGAACTGTGTTCTATTACATTTGGTTTAAGTAGCCGGATGGTATTAATAGCCCACACACACGAGCGCAAAGAAATGTGGTTCAAAGCGTAATACGTAAACCTGTTATTGATGAATGATTTACGTCAATAAATAAACACAATCACGATTTGATTGAGATACAGTTACTTTTTAATTAGTTGGAAGTAGTCAACAAGAAACCCTTAACCTAGTTTCAGTGCTAGTTAGCGCTCGTCTGTAACGTATACCCAACTTGAGATTCTAATGCTCGGTAATCGAATAGAGATTGACCTCCTGTAGGACTGAAATATTTACAATTGATCACAGTTTAGTGACCAATGCCATAATTGTTTAGTACCTAAATGCTGATCGGATTGCAACCACCTAACATCTCAACGTAGTGTGTGGGATATCGAGTCATTTAGGCTAGTGACTAAACTGCAACCTGACTGACTGAATCCGACTAGCATTAAAGGATTAAGTAAGTATGATAATGTTCACTACTCACTAACAAAACAATTATACATAGACAGTGATTATTGCTAGATGTATATTTTACTTCTGCACTGTATCTTAACAAAACTGTATAATTTAGCACAATTAGATTTTTAAAAAAGGAAATTAAACGATTAATTGTAAGGACAAGGAGACTTTGATTTTTCTGTAACTTTCTGTGGCAATGCAACATTGGGGTTATATTTATCAGAGTAACATTATTTCAGGTCGATATGTTTGCACCAATTAAGTGTGAAATTCGCTCAGTATGACTAGTGCAAACTTTCACTGAAGATACAACAGAGACGACACGTACATAACACGGGTCATAACAAGGTAAAATTCAACTAGACAAATATATTATTATTTGTACCACTAACTGTGACTAAATAGAAAAAAACACCAGACTTCACAAACATTTTAAATTAATTCCAATCAAATAACTTTAGCAATCTGAATTTATGATGTGTTAATGACATATAGGGGAGATAGAAATAATAAAGATAAGTGTTATACACTAAACATGATATAATCTAATCGAGGTTAAGAAAAAAATTCACCACAAGTGATAAAATCCTACCAGAATAATTATATCTTTGAGAACCCATCCAACGTCGTTTATCATCATTACGTAAAAGATCAGAATGAAATCCATAGCCTAACATCGTTAGCACGTAACGAATAAATGTTCCATCGTCATCCGCATGTACAGCGACAACATCCAAACTAATATCATCACCTATCCATTAAAATGGACAAAGAGAAAATTACATTTATAGGAAGAAAAAAGGGATTCGTCTTAACCTACTCATCAATATGAAATTATAATTATATGAAATAAATGCCATAGTTCAAAGACATGTGGACACTTTAAATTAGCATGAGGTTGAGAAACAGAAGCAGCGAGTTAATCTTTTGCACTATACTAACATATGAACCTCAAGTTGTGTCTAATAACTGAAACTTCGGAAATCACGTGAGAAGTGATAAATTTAGGTCCTACTTCAATGGTTTTCTCCATGACATGGAAGCGGCTATCTCTGAGGTTAATAAGTAGCAGAAACTAGAAAACCACCGACGGAAATCAGAGCAAAACCTTAACATTTCAATCATATCTTCAAATAATAGTCTTAATATAGAAAGAAGCACGCTACGATGATGGTCTTAATACAGCAGATCACGAATGATTCGTTACAAAACTCCAATAACCCATACAAGTTTTGCTTTACGTTATAAAAGAACCTCTATAGCTAAACATCTGAAACCTAACAAAGGCTTTGAATCAATCGACTTGAAAAAAAACGGGTCTAGAATTTTAAAGCACAAAATGTTTCATACTGTTCCAAATTAGCCATCCTTCAAGATTTAAGGATTCTCCTCGACTAATTTCAGACACATGCTCCTTAAGTCTCACTTTCGACGGAAAACAGATATCGGAAATTTAAATGCATGAACTAATCACTTTTCTATAAATACTGAAAACATTATTTTATTTCCATGAATTTACCGACTTTAAATTTTTGAATTATTCTATTTGTCAATCAACTTTTTTGACTAAGCCAATGTCCAGCGACGCACTGTTAACTTGATCAGTGAAATAACATTAAACCTTTAAAATGACAATCACATTTAAATATATTAAAAACATTCAAGACCGTAGCTGCTACCTTGACGTGATGGTCGGGCTTGCCTATCGTGATGACCCAACCGAGCTATATTGGCTGGGACATATGTTCCTGTAGGTTCTACCATGCCAGGTAGGCCGATTGGAGGACGGTAAGACTAGAAGCAGCAACTCAAGGTTTGAGGGCGAAGTCGTACTGCTGACTGTAGAGGGGTGTGACAGCAGTAAGATTTTTTCCTCGGACAACCAGCATCTGCAGAGATGCTGCCTTCTCACAAGGAAGGAAGGGGTTAGAAAAGGTCGACCCTAAAAATGTCACACCCCACCTTACCTCACGGATTTCCGTCTCCAGAGATAAGGCCCTTTGAAGAACAGAGCTAACACATTGAAAACCTCCCACAAAAAGGCCGAGTGCGACCGGCCTCAAGCAGTTGTCCCTTGGGCTCTGTGGTCACGTCTTCAGATCGTTAAGGCCAACACTAATCCGACTTCCTTCTCAGGTTCTTCAAGAAACACCCTTCCACGGTGTGGGCAGCCGGAAAGTGATATCAGCCCTCATACTCGTAACAGCACACGAGAACAAGTTGGTCACATTTGAATCCTTCCTACACCTCCTAATAACTCTCTTATCTCTACGACTAATCCTTCTCACGTCCCTTTATCACCTCGCACCGCTAGTGCAAACGATTCGAGTACGCCGAACGTTATTCCTGGTCTCCTGAAACCACGCTCTAAACTACATGTAGGAGCTTTCTACGTCCGAACACTGTGTCAAATAGGAAACAGGCTTCCTTAGCTAGGACTTTAGAATCTCGCACCATTGATGCGTGCTGCGTCTCCGAAACGCTCATACAGAATTCGAGTAGTGTCATTCATTTGACTTCACCATGTTAAAGTAACGAACCAACTCGATTTATGCTACGTGCTCTCAACAATCAGTACTTACCAGAAATTATATGAAGAGCCGCAGTTACAACGTCATTGGTACCATGAACAGAATATGAGGCAGAATCTGTTGAACCTACAAATTGAAGGAAAACAACAAGTGAACAAGTAAAAAGAATTACAATTATTGATTGTAATTGATGTTAGATGGTTGAAGGGAGTCATTAAGGAACTCTGAATTCAGGCGTCATGCTAATTGGGATTGTTTGGTAAAACTTTATTACGTAACGATTAAGCCGGTCATAGTGAAGTCTGTAGTCGTGCATGAACACCAAAACACCAACTCTGAATACTGGATGGGTTCTTTCTTTGATCGGGAGTTTTTGTGGCGGGATTGTTTGGTGGGTTGGTTTTAGTTTTCAACTCATAAAAGTTTCTGCTGACGAAAAGGGTGCATAACAAAGAGGCAGAGAAATGTACTATACAAAGTGGAGATGGACAAAGATGACTGTGCTCAACCTCCTAACCAACCAAGAAATACCCTCGAGCGAGGTAACACAACATTAATATCTCTGGATATAATGTTAAACATTTTTAGCTTACCAGATAACGTGATGGAAAAAACACTTCGAATGCATTAATTGGACATACAAGTGCGAGTAAGGTTTGGTCGACCCCGACAGAAAACAACACAGTTGCATACAAACCCCAAACAATATGCTTTCAACTACATAGTGAGAGTGGGGTGAGGATGTCAGAAACGCAGGAAGCCACTCACTCGTTATTTTGTTATTTTTATTTCACAAATTTCTGTTTCTGTTTTTTTCCATCCAGTACTTCCTACAGAAACCCTCCTTCGTCTCAGCCTCGTCAAGAACAAACTTTTCCGGTTTTTCAGTTGTGCTTTTAGTACGCTAAATTTTAACCCTTATTTTTAATGTTTTTCAGAAATATGATCATATCCATGTTCCATTCGTTTTAATACATATACATTTACCTCCACTAACATATTTTCCCTGTCTTTTGGACTCGTTGGGAACTAGAGGAAAAAAGGAATCGGAATATTCAAATATTCGAGTCGAAGTTAGACATTATCAATGTGTAGTTAGATAGTTATCGTAGTGCAACAGGGCTATAAAGTTGGTTACATACGAACTAATTAATATTGGGAGTTATTCTAAAAGTCAACGATTAACTAAAGAAATTGGAAAGATGTACAAGAGAATAAGTGAATGAACTAAAACATTGCAATAGTTTCGGAAATCGAAATGTAGACTTATGATAAAACACACTTATGAATTATCAAAGAAATTCAAAAGTTATAGTCCATGACGAAGACCATCTTCAGAAATGAATTCATTCTTTACAAACCTCAGTCAAACTACAAATGCCTTTGTTTTGTTTTTCCGTAACTAACCTGCCGGAATAACTCCAAGTCGAATTGTTGGTTTTAATTCAATTTCTCCAGGTTTATGTCCCGAAAATAAAGGTAGACTGAACTTGCGTCTTTCGTGTAACAATAAACCTTGAACAGCTTCTGCTAAAAATCCATCGCCACCGACACAAATTACTCTGAAGAGTTACATGGAAAGACCGCAAGATATAATGAACGAACAACAATCAAAAACTTAGATCTAAAGAACCAGAGAACTAATTAACAATTTGAAAATAAACTTTATACTTAACTGATAGGTAAATAAAACGGAATCACATATTTTAATCCATTAAATGAGTTACGTACAGTCAAAGTACAAACCCTGACCTGTATGCTGTAGATTACGATTAGTAATCATCAATACTAAATTCTACTTCCTTGTCCAACATAACTATTTATAACAATTTTTAAACATCACTTTAAAATGATTGTGCTTGTTCAGTCAGTTAGTAGTTATAACTTCTGAAATCTACTCAGTTAGGAATCGGGAGTCGGATCTCATTGGCAACCTATCAACTAGATCATCTCAATTGTTGCAGTGCATTATCAGATCCATTGAATCATAACAAAATAATAAGACGAACGTGAATGAGTAGTTACATAGAATTAATAAATTATATGGGATGAACATGACAACGCATTTAGGAAGATGAAATTTTGGACCGATTGTTGGGATAGAATCACAGTACCTCATCGATAGTATTGCTTACAGATGTTTAGAAAGGACAATTAGCACTTGATAGACAGTATGAGAACCCAAAACTAAAGGACAGACTTATTTGCAAAGCATACATCGACAAACCACTAAGAAAATTACTAACAGTGTTACATGACCCTATGGTGTTGTTTGTGTTAGAGAATTTACACTTAGGTGACATAATATACTAAATATCATTTAGGAGTATCACTGACCTAAGCCAGTCATATTTGCGATAGCGACCAATTAAAGAAACATAAGTAGTGAATTAAATAGGTGATACGATGTTTTAAGAACATTCTTTGAATGATTAAGAATTTACGACCTAACTATCTTTTCACAAGACAAGTTAGATATGTTAGAATTTTTAACGTTGTTATTGATAATTTTGCGTTCAAAATCCCCAATCTTTAGCTATAGGCAGATATCTGCTGCGAATAAAGGAAGAGTCCCAAGTTCATACGGATAACAGATAATAGGACTAATTCACCCATTCTTACTATATTCCGATAGTTATTGAACCTACTGTACTGATATTAAAACAATTCTCTTGATAACTCCAATAAAAGGACGTATGTTTGGCCAATGAACTTAACATCCTGAGACAAAACGTGTTGGCATAGTGATTACGTGGTTGACTTCAACGAACAAATAACTTTAGGAAATAAACAAATTACTACTGAATTGTAAAAAATTAAACCAAATCGTTATATATATCACTCTGGTTGATAAAGTTTTTAATAAGTGAAACTAGAGAAGAAACTTACCCATCATAAGAATCCAATGAGTTTTCAATGAGATAATCTGTCGCATGATCCCGAGATGTCGTAGCTGTATAATCGGAAAAAGCCACAATAATAATAAACGTTCAATATAACTTAAATGCAAACCTGTTATCGAGGAAATATATCTATCTGTCCAATTTCTAACCTTTCTTTTCATAGAGATCCACTAACTAGGAAAATACTTCATTTTAGAAAATTACGAAATGAAAAGAAAATAACTTTGTTAAATATAGGTAGTCTGAAATGACCTATGAACTGTTTTGGATAATCCAGAAATTCTGTCAGATAAAATAAGTAGCGAACACGTGGGCTGCAATTTGTTCTGATATAAGATGATAAACGTGAGGACCTCTCAAGAAAAAAAAATGGAGCCTTCTTTAAAACTTGGCATTTAAAGAGAGTATTAAAGATTCCCGTTGTGAAAATTAGAACAACACGTATGAGCGAACAATCGTTTTCAATTAGATCGTCATCAGGCTTTACTCTAATATACATGAATATTTATACGAAAATGTTAGACCAATCAAGGCAATATGGGTCAATAATCACAATGAAATAGAATAGGTCACCACACATAATAAGTAAAAATACAAGTTGATAGCAGGAAGACTTTTAATGTTTTGTGTTGACTATTACAAGTCTATTTACCCACGTTTGACCTTCTATTTCCAACGTTTAACTATTGATAAGACTTTTGTTATCGTATTTTATTATTCTTACTACTATCAGTACACCTGTCTTCCTACTATCAACTTGTATTTTTATTTATTATGTGTGGTGACCTATTCTATTTCATTGTGATTACTGACCCATATAGCCTTGATTGGTTTAACATTTCCGTATAAATATTCATGTATATTAGAGTAAAGCCTGATGACGATTTAATTTAAAGAGAGGACATTCGTAGGTTACTAGTATTTGATCATGTATCTTCGAGCCATTGCTCGTTTATTATGGAACCATCGAGTTAGATATTTTAAGGTTAAACATTGAGTACTAAATACAGAAATCAATTGACAAGGTTGTGAATCTTTACCGATCGAGATGGTTAAGATATATATTATGTGTGTGCACCTACCGACTACCTCGATTCACGTTGATTGCTGATGTAGGAGTAAATTGGAAGGAAACTAAGGACAGCCGAACTAAAAAATGAGATCATCCCATGAAGATCGACTGCTGACTGGTCCATGTAGGTAGATGCAGACTACCTGGTTGGAGTCTGCGTGAGTATTGTGACCAGTGGCTGGAGCCTTTGAATGACATGACTCAGAATCACTGACAAAGGCGGAGTTGTATTCACTTTTTATCTTCCTCTAGATTTTAAGTTTCTGGATTCTTCACAAGTTTTCTTAGAAGCTCACTAATTTATATTTTCTCGAATTATTTTGAATGTTTGATCTGTTCTATTATCATCAATACTGTTACTACCTCTACTAGTCTGGAATTCGCCCTGACAATTTGATCTTGCTGAACCGATGTACATGTGTGCCAGATTCTATATTAAGTTTGACTGACTGACAGAAAAGTGTACAGACAAATTGTAGTTTTCAATCTACATACCCACTATATATGGGAACAACAAAACTCAATAACCATAAGCCTACGGTCCTTAGCATGCTATGTTAAAGGAAAATTCAAGGATCAAGTGTGATTGCCTGCTTTGCAGCAATAAGCAAATATTAATCATGTAGAATTTACCCATTGAATACCTAAGAATTCGAAGGTCAGTCTCCATTTGTTAGCAGTTTAAGGTATAGTATCAATACCAAGTGTATTAGGCGACTATATACTATTCTGTGGTCACCTGAATAATATTCGATTAAGCCTATCTGCATTCCCCAATGGAAAGTCCACTATTAGGAACCTGAAAGATGTAAAGAATAATCCCTACTACGTTTATTTATTTATTTTAACGCATAGATATTGGTACAATGAGGCACCAAATACATATGCGCCACACAAATCTCATTCGATATGTGTGAGGGCTGTGATACTGCCCGGGTGCCCAAACCGAAGCAGGTGGTTATCTTAGGGAGCCACACCCCGAGCCTTCGACCTAAAGGTCTGATCCATAAGGCAGTGGAGCATCGTAAAGAGATGCAGTCCCATGGAAGCCGGTGACCAACAATTGGTTCATACGCCATTTGTTCCCGCAGGATACTGGAGCCCATGTGCACCATTGGTTTGGGATGCGGTTAAAGCGCCGGACATTCGCTTTTCGTCCTCTCATTTTTGTAAACAACACCCTCGCCACGAGAAGGCAGTGAGTAGGACTTCCCTGGCAGAGGCTATATACGCGCGGCGGTGTGAGAGTATTTCGAGAGGGAGAGCTGACTCTCCTCACTCTCGGCCGTACCAGGGCATTTGGGGGCCCACGTACCACCTATAAAGCATGTTAATGACGTGCGAGTATAGATGATACGTCGGCATTTCGGTATCTGAAATTATTAATAATACGTCGAGATTTGACATTTATAAAAATGAAAGATACCTTAAAAATCATTAAAAGGCAATCAATTAGAATAAATGGCTTGGTAGCTGATCCATTTGGGTTTCAAACAAAATTTCGCAAAGTTAAGTGGTGCCTCATCTACTTTAGTCTAAGCATCCAGATAGTATTACTAGTTATTGAACAAAAAGTGTAAGGTTGAAGTTGGGTAAATAAGCTTGTATTCGGTAGATGAGATGAGTTAGTTGAAACGGTAGTGGAAAATATGAGAAACCCAACCAAAATGGGACCTAACAGACAAATAAATTGCTAAGAAACGATGTCCTTCCTAAGTATACAACAAATAACATAGGTGACAATGATACAAAGCAAATTTCTAAAAAATCAACGTAAATATCACCAATATAAACTCACCAATAACTTTCGTTTGAATGTTGGCTAGATAAAATAATGGTGCTACTTGGTGAGTATATATTTGCTGTGCTTTCTTTGCTCCGCTTAAAGGATTGATGAAAACCAACAAATTGCGTGGACGTGAAGGATCTGCATTAAAAGAAGTTTTATTTATTAGCGCATCCAGTCAGTCAGTCAGTCAGTAACAACGTAGAACTTCGTACGTGCGAACATCAATTCGAGTTGCCATACCACATTAGCACAGAGACGCAGTTATCGATTCAAATCCCGTAGTGGTAGAGGTAGTAAGAGTATAAGCAATAATCGGAAACATTAGGGTTTGAAGATGTTATTCAAGGAGTATAATAAAGTGAAATAAATTTGGAAAGAAAATAAAGGACATGAATAATCCAGAAGATTAGAATTTGGGAGAACACAAAGAGTGTATGCACCTGCGCCATTGCAAACGATTTTGAGCCATGTCATTCAAGGTCTTTAACCATCGGTTGCTATCATCTCGCGAATCCCAACTAGATAGTCTACACTTGCCAACATGACTCAGTCCACTTGTCAGTGACTTCATGGACTTGTGCCATGTTTTGGTCTGGTAGCCCCTAGCATTCTTCCAACCTACTCCTATACCACTGAACATCGCACATCGAGGCAGTCGGTGGTTGGGCATACGTAACACATGTCCCAGCCATCTCAACTGGTGAAGTTTCACTACGTCATCAATTGATTGCCATCCTTACCTACTACCCGTTTCCTAACAACTGAGTTACTTACTTGATGGTCCCAGGATATACGAGCAATGTTTCGAAGACATCTATGATCAAATACTAGTAACTTACGAACATCCCCTGCTCTTACCGGCCATGTTTCACTGCCATAAAGTAGGATGGAACTAACTGCAGCACAGTAAACACGTCTTTTGGTTTGTAGACGGATATCTCGCCTACTCCATAAATGACGCAAGTTGGTAAAAGCTAGTCGGCCCTTCTGTATCCGTGATGAGATTTCATCACACACCAGACCACAAGGGCTGATGAGACTTACAAGATAAGTGAAGCGATCGATACGCTCAATTACTTCACTCCCTATCATTAGTTCGGGCGTCAATGCAACCCAATCCTGAAGCAACATTTTACATTTCGAGGGAGAGAATCGCATCCCGAACATGCTTGCATTGTTGCTTAGAGTGGTCAGAAGACTCTGCATTTTGTCAGCGTCTTCACCAAATAAAACTATGTCATCAGCATATTCTAAGTCAACAAGTGAATCTCCCGGTAGAAGTTCAACCCTGTAAATTTAGATGAGGAGAGTGTTATCTCTAAAAGCAGGTCGACGACAAAGTTGAACAAGAATGAAGAGAGTGGACAGCCCTGACGAACACCACTTGAGGTAACCAATTCTGATGACAGTTCGCCATAAGCTCTCACTCGACCAGTTGTGTTCGAGTAGAGAGCTTTTATAAGGTTAGTGTACTTCTTTGGTACTCCTTTCAGTGACAAACACTGCCATAGAACCTTACGATCGACAGAGTCGAATGCTGCTTTAAGGTCGAGGAATACTACGATTGTGGGGCGTCTGAACGTGTGTCTGTGTTCTAGAACCTTACGTAGTGTCAATATTAGGTCTATACAACCATGTCCAGGTCGAAAATCAGACTGGTTTTCTCTAGCCTTCGAATGCCCTGGTACGGCCGAGAGTGAGGAGAGTCAGCTCTCCCTCTCGAAATACTCTCACACGGCCACGCGTATACAGCCTCTGCCAGGGAAGTCCTACTCATTGCCTTCTCGTGGCGGGGGTGTTGTTTACGAAAATGAGAGGACGAAAAGCGAATGTCCGGCGCTTTAACCGGATTCCAAACCAATGGTGCACATGGGCTCCAGTATCCTGCGGGAACGAATGGCGTATGAACCAATCGTTGGTCACCGGCTACCATGGGACTGCATCTCCTTACGATGCTCCACTGCCTTGTGGGTTAGACCTTTAGGTCAAAGGCTCGGGGTGTGGCCCCCTAAGATAACCACCTGCTTCGGTTTGGGCACCCGGGCAGTATCACAGCCCACACACAAATGATGAACTCTTTATGTCTATGGAAATTACTTTTCTCGCTTTGAAAAACAAACAATTGATTCAGATTATTATCATTACAATTATTGTCATTATTAATACTATTATTATTATTACTACTATTGTCATTATTATTATTATTATTATTATTATTATTATTATTATTATTTTCCACATTATTCACCCTCTTTTATACTTATACAGCGGCTCGTCTTTGGTGGAAATTCGACTGTATCTAAACGTTCTCGAGTCACTGTCCGGTTGAAAATTGTATGTTACCACCGAATACGAGGACTGAAGCAGATTTTCTGAAACCACGTGCACCATTCAAACTGGCTGCCTTCAACGTTCGCACATTTATGCAGGTCGGACAACAGATAGGGCTGGCTATGTCTTTGGAAAGTCTTAATATCGACGTTTGTTGTCTATCCGAGACCCGTATTCAAGACTCTGGCGAAGTACTACAAATTCGATCTCCATCTGTCGCTTCGAAAAGCTTGTTTTACGTGCGCTTATCCGGGGACCCTGTGGCATCTTCGTCTGGTCTTGCTGGCGTTGGTGTCGCACTAAGCGCTAGAGCTGAGGCAGCACTAGTCGATTGGATCCCCATTAACAGTCGGTTATGTGCTGTTAGATTAGAAAGTTCCATCAAAGTGAGAAGAAATCGGCGTGAGAAACGATGTCTTTTCGTCATCTCCGCCTATGCCCCGACAGATTGCAGCCCGGATGCAATCAAGGATGAGTTTTACCACCAGTTATCAGTTCTTCTCCAGAAAGTGCGTTCGACAGATATTGTAGTACTAGCCGGAGACTTGAATGCTCAGGTCGGGCGTCTAGGCACAGAAGAGAGTCGTTTAGGTGGCCGATGGGGACTCGTTGGTCGCAGGTCAGATAACGGGGACCGTCTACTGCAACTTTGCACAGACCACAACCTGTTTCTGGCTAGCACTAACTTTCGGCACAGTCATCGCCGATGTGCCACCTGGCGTCCTCCCTCTGCATCTCAAGCCTGGACTCAGATTGATCACATCGCGATCAGCTACCGCTGGCGTGGTTGTGTACAAGACTGCCGCTCCTTTTGGAGTACCTATCTGGACTCTGACCATGCCTTGGTCTGCGCCAATCTTGCCTTACTTTTCAGTGGACAACGAAGTGACCGCCATCAACGGATTGATGTTAGCAAGCTGGTTGCAACTTCTGTTGCAAGTAAGTATCGAACCGAGCTAGCCTCTAGGCTAGCTACCACTCCACCGAAAAGTATAGATCAGCATTGGTTGCAATTGCATGACGCCATGAAAATGGCGGGAACAGTCAGTTGTGGGTTTGCGAAACGTCCCGCTTTTAAGCACTGGGTTTCTTCTGGTTCCTTACAACTCATTGAAGCCCGTCGGTCTACTCCGGGTGACCGTGAGTTTGACCATAAACGAAGGATGTTACGTAAGGAAATTGGGCAAAGCTTGCGTAAGGACCGAGAAGCCTGGTGGTCGATGCGTGCTAATGAGCTGGAAGCAGCAGCTGCATCTGGTAACTACCGGAAGCTCTTCCAGCTCATCCGAGCCACTGGCAGCAAGAAGTCTGGTGTGAGTGAAACAATCTGCGAGGATGATGGGATGCCAATCACTAACATCCATCGACGTCTTGGACGATGGGCAGAATTTTTCGAAGGGCAGTTCAACTGGCCTGCTGCTCCGGCAACATCGGTCAGACTGTCCTGCCCTCCATGGCCGGTGACGACTGATCCACCAAATGAGGAGGAAGTCCGCAAGGAACTCCAACTCTTGAAGCGTTACAAATCACCTGGCCCAGATGACTTACCTCCGGCTCTTTTTAAAGATGGTGGTGACTTTTTGACTAAGGAATTGACGACGTTGTTTACAAAGGTTTGGGAACTAGAGAGTGTACCAACGTCATGGAATGAGTCGATAGTTGTCCCTATCTTTAAAAAGGGTTCACGTCGTTCCTGTAACAACTATCGGGGGATAAGTTTACTTCCGATTGCGTCCAAGCTATTGGCTTCCGTCATTCTTCGTAGGTTGTTCAAAACCCGAGAAAGATTGACTCGCGAGGAGCAGGCTGGGTTTCGTTCTGGTCGAGGATGTATTGATCATATCTTCACCCTCCGCCAAATGTTAGAACACCGCCATACTTTTCAAAGGCCAACAATCGTAGTGTTTCTTGACATCAGGGCTGCCTTCGATTCGTTGGACAGGACTGTTCTCTGGGATTGTCTATTGAAGAAGGGTGTGCCTGAGAAGTTTATTAACATCCTAAAAGCCCTATATAAAAACACCTCAGGCAGAGTGAGGGCATACAACCACCTCTCTCCATTGTTCCATTCGAGCAGTGGGGTTAGGCAGGGTTGCCCAATCTCACCATTCCTCTTCAACTTTGCCATCGATGACATTCTGGAAACAGCTCTGATGAATGTAAGTAATGGTGGTGTGGATCTGTTGCCTGGAGAAAGACTTCTCGACCTTGAGTATGCGGACGATATTGTCTTACTGTGCGATAATGCCCAAGGCATGCAATCCGCACTTAATCAGTTGGCAATCAGTGTCCGTAGGTATGGTATGTGCTTTGCACCTTCGAAGTGCAAAGTACTTCTACAAGACTGGCAGGATTCTAATCCTGTACTCACCCTGGATGGTGAGCAGATAGACGTAGTTGAGAAGTTCGTGTATCTGGGTAGCTGCATAAGTGCTGGTGGGGGTGTGAGTGATGAGATCAATGCACGAATAGTGAAAGCCAGAGCGGCTTATGCCAATCTGGGCCACCTTTGGCGCCTTCGTGATGTTAGTCTGGCTGTAAAAGGTCGGATCTACAACGCGTCGGTGAGAGCAGTTTTGCTCTATGCTTGTGAAACCTGGCCTCTCCGAGTTGAGGACGTTAGACGACTCTCTGTGTTCGATCATCGCTGTCTCCGAAGGATTGCTGACATTCAGTGGCAACACCATGTCAGTAATGCAGAGGTTCGGCATCGTGTGTTCGGGCACAGAGATGATAATTCAATTGGTGTCACCATCTTGAAACACCGACTTCGGTGGCTTGGACATGTTCTCCGAATGTCGTCCCAGAGAATTCCACGTCGTGCATTATTTGCCGACTCTGGGACTGGTTGGAAGAAGCGGAGAGGTGGTCAGTGCATGACATGGTGTCGTGGCATGAAAGAAAGCTGCAAAGGACTGGCTTGTGTTGGTCCTTCACGACTCCCTGGTTGGGGTCCGAGAGATGGTGCTACACAGTGGCTAGAGACGTTATCAGATATGGCTCAGAATAGAAGCCAGTGGCGATCCTGCTGTAACCTTCTTTTACTTTCTTCATAAAAAGTGGTTGTGTCTCCTTTACCTGAAAGATTTCTTCTGATTGTACCTTTTCGTTCCGTCGTTACTACCACACTACCTTACACCAATCTCTTCGTCATTGTTCTCTTTTTCTTTTGCGCTCCTTAGTTTTTTTTTCTATTTCTCTTCGAATTCTCATTGTTTTGTGTGGCGCATATATATTGGCGCTCTCTTGTACCAATATTCATGTGTTCAAATAAATAATAAATATTATTGAAGCTAATATTTTAGACACTATATTAGTCAAACTGATTCCTCTGTGATTGTCACAAGAGGACTTTTGTCCTTTCTTAAAAACTGGCACAATCAGTGATTGAGACCAGTCAGATGGGATTACGTCCAGTTCCCAAATGCTACCTAAGACCTCAGTTAATCTCATTGCTAATACTGGACCACCATCCTTAAAAATCTCAGAAGTGAACCTGTCAGGGCCTGCTGCTCTCCCTCGTTTCAGATTTCCTATGGCTTTTTCAACTTCGTAAAGAGACGGAGGACCTACATTAACTTGCCATTCAGGTTGACTGGAGATCGTGGGAAACCGAAGTGTGGCTGAAGGCCAGTTGAACTGATCCCTAAAGTGTTCTGCCCATCGATCCAATCTCCTGGATTGAGAATGTATAATATGTCCAACTTTTTCTGAGATAATTTCGCTAACAGTCGGGTTCCTAATACCGGTTTCCTTAACAAGTTGGAACAGATGTCTGCTGTTACCTACTGCCACTGCCTTTTCCATCTCTCTTGCTTTCTCTACCCACCACTGTTCGCGATCATTGTGTAGGTTTCTTGTCAGCTTGCGCTTAAGCTGACTCCGCTCTTCGTCATGTTCAGAGCCAGATGGAATGAGTTTTCAAGCATCTATCAGTGCGGTAGATGCTGATGAGATCCAGTATTTCTCCCTAACCTTGTGGTTTACCGTACTTGCAGACATCACTGCTGCTTCCATATATTTTCGGATATCATTCCGCGATGCCTCGGTATGGGCATCACTTACATGGCTACCTAACTGTCTTTCTAGTTGTTCCTCAAATATACTTTTAGCTTGACTATCATCAAGTAGGACCCTAAGAGGTTTCCTTGCATCATTTTTCCTACGTCCAGTAAGACGCAGACAGATACGCGCTCGCACTAGAGCATGATCTGAATCTAAGCATGTGCTCCAGAATGAGGGAGTCTTCTATGGAGCCCCTCCATCGGTGGCTGATAGCGATGTAATCTATTTGGGTCCAACGTTGGTACGAAGTCGGGAGTCGCCATGTCAAAAGATGTTTTCCCTTATGCTTAAAGTTAGTGCTTGCAAGAGACAGGCGGTTATCTGAGCTTAGCTGCAACAGACGGCCACCATTATTTGTTCTTTAAGCCACGATACCATAAGATCCACCCAGGTGTCTTTCCCATTCGCTTAGTTTACCCACTTGAGCATTAAAGTCGCTGGACACTATTACTACATCAGAGCGCCTAGCTTTTCGGAGAAGGTCCGAAAGCTTTCTGTGAAACTCATCTTTAACATAGTCTGAGCTGCAGTCAGTGGGAGAATAGGCAGAGACGACGAAGAGGCAACGACGAGTTTCCCTATCTTTCAGAGTCCTTACTGTTCTGTTTAGTCGGAAAGCGCACAAACGACTTTCTACTGGGATTCAGTCTAAGAGAGCTAGTTCTGCCCTAGGACTCAATGCTATACCTACGCCAGCAAGGCCACGGGAAGCAGCATTAGGGCTTCCAGATACACGAAGTGTGAATCGAGTCGGTTCTTTATTTTGGCATGGTGAGGTCAGATGAATGACGCTACTTGGATTCTGTATGCGCGTTTCGGAGACGCAGCACACATCGATGTCGCGGGATTCTAAAGTCCTAGCTAAGGAAACCTGTTGTCCTATTTGACACAGTGTTCGGACGTTAAAAGCTCCTACGTGTAGTTTAGAGTGTGGTTTCAGGAGACCAGGAATAACGTTCCGCGCACTCGAATCGCTTGCACTAGCGGTGCGAGATGATAAAGGGACGTGAGAAGGATTAGTCGTAGAGATAAGAGTTATTAGGTGTAGGAAGGATTTAAATGTGACCAACTTGTTCTCGTGTGCTGTTACGAGTATGAGGGCTGATATCACTTTCCGGCTGCCCACACCGTGGAAGGGTGTTTCTTGAAGAACCTGAGAAGGAAGTCGGATTAGTGTTGGCCTTAACGATCTGAAGACGTGACCACAGAGCCCAAGGGACAACTGCTTGAGGCCGGTCGCACTCGGCCTTTTTGTGGGAGGTTTTCAATGTGTTAGCTCTGTTCTTCAAAGGGCCTTATCTCTGGAGACGGAAATCCGTGAGGTAAGGTGGGGTGTGACATTTTTAGGGTCGACCTTTTCTAACCCCTTCCTTCCTTGTGAGAAGGCAGCATCTCTGCAGATGCTGGTTGTCCGAGGAAAAAATCTTACTGCTGTCACACCCCTCTACAGTCAGCAGTACGACTTCGCCCTCAAACCTTGAGTTGCTGCTTCTAGTCTTACCGTCCTCCAATCGGCCTACCTGGCATGGTAGAACCTACAGGAACATATGTCCCAGCCAATATAGCTCGGTTGGGTCATCACGATAGGCAAGCCCGACCATCACGTCAAGGTAGCAGCTACGGTCGGTTAGCGCATACAGAATACGAATTTTCGAAAAAAATCTAGATGGACATTTTATCATGTGCATGTATTACCACAAGTCAATTAGTTGATATTTGACCATTATGTGAACCAACGTTTGATTGATTGCAAATCAACTAGTATGAGATGTAAGATCATACATATTCAACAATACGACTAATAATTTTACACATTACTAAGTCCATCTTTTCGTCGAGCAGTGCATCCAAGATTTATAGGATGACAATTAGTCGCTAAAATGAAATACTGACTGACCAACGAACGACAATTGACTTAGACCATTGAATTCAGTGAATAGAGAATTGAATGCATATATAAAGGGCACATCGTAAGCTAACAGTATATGATTAAGACTGTTGTCATATACTAAATTAAAAACTGAGGAAAAGCAAACCGAACGGGCATGAGTACTTGACCACTTATACTCTAACAAACGAACTTAGCTGGATAAGTTAATATCCACAAATATATTGCTACTTAAAAATAGCGAACGCTCTTTGCGTGAAATTGCTTCAGCCGATTAGACTCATATGATAGGACAGCCTAATTACCATGCTTCTTCATTCATCATATTAAAATTAAAAACTAGTTAAATGAGTTCATGTGCTCTAGTATCTACCAGAAACATATACTGCACTTTAGTCAACGACATAGTAAGCCTAAAGATTGCTTTTACCAAACTGGCGACACATATCATTCCGACAAAACATTCTGCTAAGTTGGATTTAAAGATAACAGCATAACCAGTGAAAAGTATACACACTTATCCACTATGTATCCAAGATATCACGAAAATGGAGGGTCTAGATACCTTACATCCATAATAACTTCTGTAAGACTTAAAATTTTCTCATACACTTCGGTTTACTTAGTGGGTGAAAGGTAAGACGAGAGTCACCTCATTTTCAAAATAATTCACAAACCTTATGAAAGAATTACGAAGAATAATGATCAAATGTAGCTCGTAAACTTCGGAACCTGCATACCTTAATTAAGTAACTGATGTATATCCATCTTCAAAAAGTGACAAGCATCTACAGTTTTAGGTCCACTATTTAACCAAAGCACCCCACGCAAACTTTCTACACCCATACCCTAACAAACTTTCTAAGGTTATGCTTAATCGAGGACAAAATACTACTGAGGTTAATACCAAATTTTTTCAGAAAGCCAAGCAATTTTCTGTACATGACAAGTAATTGTCTTTAAATTGCAGCCAATCAAGTGATTACGTAACAACTGTAGGTCTGAAGTTGATCCTAACTTCCTTACAAACAAACGCAAATTAAATGTGAATACTAAGCTATTAATGTTCAAAAGCAAATTAACTTTGTTGTGGAAAAACAGATTTTAAGTTTGAAACGATCCAATATTAACTCACTTGTCTTCAATACACTGCTATTTAAAAAACCCACCCAGTCAGACACCTGTTGGTCGCGGACACAGTAAAATGTGGAGCAACGAACTCCCCAACTATACTTCTTTGTTGGCGTGATGCTCCAAATAGTGAATCCACAGGAAGTACTAGCCTCTTTCTTCTGGAACGACCCAGACAAATCAGTGAGCCACCTCACACCATTAATATCTGACAGGGAAGTGGTTCCGATAATATTCTTAAAGCTTACTAGAAACAAGTAATAATTTAAAATGGCATACTCTGTTTTATTACTGTTCCGACTCCTAATTCACTTAAAGACCTCCATAGTATTTCATTCTTCGTTACTCCCACAATGCATGGGAAGAGACTGCTATCTCTAAGACGATGAAGTGATCCAACATTTACACTCATTTCAGATGAAATAAATCCTGAATAATGAGGCCTCGTTATACCTATGTGGAATTTCGTTTATTGTTGACATTGAGTGAATTGAGATTTGTTGAGAAAACCAAACTGCCTGTTTGACTTGACTGGTCATTAACGTTCATTGATGAATGACCAAGCACACAATCTAACTCGCCAACTGTACGACTCACCCTATGACGGCTGGTTAGTAACTGGAATTGCCGCCTTTTTGTTCCTGTAACCTTCAAATGGTTCAAATGGTTGTGGACGGAATAGAAGAAGCTTTCGCTTAACAGGCTTCCGTGTCTAGTAGCAGGGGATCACCAAATCCTCCAGGCAGGAACCTAGGTATGTTAACAATAAAAGAGGAAAAGAAATTGGTAAATCATAGTGCGATGCTGTCCTTGGTCCTTAAGAATAGGTCAAGTTGCCTCTTGAAGGACTCCTGAGAAGTCGCTTGGACTAGCTCGGCCGGCAGCGAATTCCAGCTTTTGACAACTCTTAAGGAGTAGAAGTTGTGTCTACATTCCGTCTTGCTATGTTGTGTTTCCAGTTTCTGGGTGTTACCCCTTAGGTTATTGTTCGAACTAAGCTTAAGTAGGTGTTTAAGAGGATGTCCAGAAGTGTTAAGAATACTATAAGCCATTAATAAATCACCTCTAAGACGCCTATATTCTAGTGGGTAAAGGTCTAGTGAACGGAGGCGTTCTTCGTAAGGCTTAGATTTGAGTCCTCGAACTGATTTCGTGGCTCGCCGTTGGATACGCTCCAAAGTGACCTTATCCTTTTGGAGTGAGGGGGGAGTACTATGTTTCCGTACTCTAAATGGGGACGGATGAAACTATTGAAGATTGTGTGGAAAGTTCTTCCGTCAAACTGACCAAAAATGCGCCTCAACGTTACCAGTGCAAGGTTTGCTCGGAAGGCATTTTTGTCACAGTTAGCGTAAGACTTTAAGTCATGGGGCACCAGGACTCCTAAATCTTTTTCGACTTGGGATACTACTAGAGAGGAGTTTCCTAAGTTGTAACTGTAGTTTGCGACATGTCGCAGATGGACTACTTTACACTTAGAAGTGTTAAAGGTAAGTCCGTTATCGTCTGCCCAACTATGAAGTCGAGTCAGATCCTCTTGAAGAGCCTGTATATCGTCTTGGTTGCGTATCTCTCTCCAAAGTTTCACGTCGTCGGCAAAAAGTAATAAGTCTGACGTTACCTGTTGAGGAAGATCATTTATGTAAATCAAGAAGAGAAGAGGCCCTAGTACTGAGCCCTGGGGGACCCCACTTGAGAAGACCCAACTCATGGCATTCAAATTATTCAAATGGTTGTGGACGGAATAGAAGAAGCTTTCGTTTAACGGGCTTCTGTGTCTAATAGCAGTGGATCCAGGGAGGAACCTTAGCATATTAACGCTAATAGAGGAAAAAGAAATTGATAAGTCAAATTAAGATATTATCCATAGTCCTTAAGAATAGGTCAAACTTCCTCTTATAGGACCCCCGGAAAGTTACTTGGACTAGCCCGGCCGACAGCGAATTCCAGCATTTGACAACTCTTGGGGAGTAGGAATTGTGTCTACAGTCCGTTCTGCCTTGTTGTGTCTCCATTTTCTGGATGTGGCTCCTTAGTTTTATGTTGGATCTAAATCTAAGTAGGTGTTTAAGGGAATGTCTAAAAGTGTTAAGGATACTGTAAGCCATTAGAAGGTCACTTCTAAGACGTCTACACTCTAATGGGTAAACTTTTAGTGAATGGAGGCACTCTTCATGAGGCTTGAGTTTGAGTCACCGAACTGATTTCGTGTCTCGACATTGGATACACTCCAACGTGTCCTTATATTTTTCGAGTGAAGGAGGAAATACTATGTTTCCATACTCTAAATAAGGACGAATAAAACTGCTGAAGATTATGTGGAAAGTTCTTACGTCGAACTGGCCAAAAATGCGCTCCAATGTAAACAGTACAATTTTTGCTCGCAAGGCATTTCGTCACAGTTTGCGTAAGACTTCAGATCGTAGGGTACCAGAATTCCTAAATATTTTTCAGCTTGGGACACTTCTAGAAAGGATTTTCCTAGGTTGTAACTGTAGTCTGCAACATGTCTCAGATGGATTACTTTACACTTTGAAGTGTTAAGGATGAGTCCGTTGTCATCTGCCCAACTTTAAAGTCGAATCAGATCCTCCTGAAGTGCCAGTATATCCTCTTCGCTGCGTATCTCTCTCCACAGTTTCACATCATCAGCAAAAATTAATAACTCAGGCGATACCTGTTGTGGAGGATCGTTTATATAAATCAAGAGAAGAAGAGGTCCTAGCACTGAACATTGTGGGACCCCACAAGACATTCCATAGCCCGAGAGAAGGTGAAGTTAGCTCTGGCCAAAAAATGTCAATTTTTTAGATATGAAGTGAGTCAATCAATTAGAGGTGGTCTGGTACCCAATCGTTTGAGCTTATTGATAAGACATATATGGTTAACCCTATTAAAAGCTTTTGAGAAATCAATGTAAATGATATCAACTTTCCTCTTGCGATCACGGATGGTCGTCTATCTATCCACCGCAGTAAGAAGGTTGGCTATGTAGAATTATGGCCTACTATGATATTAGTACTGCTCTAATAATAGACCTAATCCTAAAATTGTGGATTTGTCATGATATAACTGCCTAATCTATAAGATCTTACGTGGAAGTCACATCATCGTATACACCAACTCTTTGTATCGTAAAAACTACCGATACATGATGAAGAACAAGCTTAGGCTAGAGAAAGAACAATATATTTAATATGAATAAAAGATATAAGGTAATATTCAACAAGAACCACGTCTGCATGGCCGAGCCATGCCATTCGATAAACTCCAATTCATTCAATTCCTTATTCGCGCCTTCTCCATCGTTAGGTATTTCTCCGCATTAAAATATTGAATATCTATTTTCCGAGTAATCTCGTATTCAGCTTTGAGGATTGTGTAGTTATGGTCTAATGCCACTACAGCTATACAAGAGTAACCCTTTTGAAACCATGCAGTTGGAGTGAGAAGAAATTCAAGGACAGTAAGTAGTCATGTATACCATCGTATATCAGGAACTCCATGATTTTTGAAGGTATAGAGAGAAGGACCACCGGTCGTTACCTTGAAGGTTCGCTGCGTCGACCTCCTTTGAAGATTGGTGTGATGTGAGCCGGTTTCCAAATATCCAGTAATGCGCCTCGGCTTAGCGTGTATGAGAGCATCACGCTAAGCTATGTTGCCAGGATTGAAGCTGCTCCCCTCATTATAGCTGAGTGAACTATATCCGGACCAGTAGTAGTGTCTTTTCTTAGGTGCTTCACTTCCCGATACACCAATTCAGCGCTCAGATTCACTTCGGAAAGTCCTGTGCAGTTGCAGATGAAATTTTCATCAATACATTTAGTGCGGGTCGGTTGAAATGTGCGAAAGTATTGTCCAGCCAGAAGGTTAGCGGCGTCATTTCATATTTCAAGTGCCTGGTGTCAGTGGCGCACCTGCAGGCTAGTTTAACCTGGTAGTTTGTGTACTTTTAGGAAACCTATTTATTTCATAAAACTCCTAGTGACATATAGCCATGTATATCGTATGTTTTGTCTATCAACTGAAAAACACCTCTGTGTTACGCTCTTTAATTGTCGATATGCAGCTCTTCTAGAGTTACTGCCGGTCTAAAGCCCTGCTAAAGTAAGAGGGTTAGCACGGGGTCGGTAACCACATCCCACAGAAAAAACTTTGCAATGGAACGGCCGATAACGTGGAAGATCGGGAGTACCAGTCAAATAGCAACGGAAATGGAGAGATACAACTTGGTGATTCTTGGAATCAGTGAAACCAATTAGACCTAAGCTGAACAGCAAAAGCTAGATACGGGGGAGATGCCGCCGTACTTCGGTCACGAAGAGAGTTGTTCTTGACTCGGTACAAAGATGCACGAAATGCACCAATACGATGGGCGTCACATGATCCTAAGATCGTCAAAGCATCCATCAAAACAAAGAGGAAATGAATCAGAATGAATGTTATCCCGTGTTATGCACTCTAAAGATAGGTTCTATTGGAGGTTGTAATCAATCATAGCACAGTGTCCGGGAAATAACCTCACCACCCTGATGGGAGACCTAAATTCCAGGTATGAAGATATCATGGAAACATGGAATAGGGGAAAGAGACGAAAGTTGAGAGCGATTTCCAAATTTATGTACATTCAACAAAATAGTTACAGGTGGCACAATGTTCCTACACAAACGCAAACACAAAGCTACATGGGTCTCACTGGATCACACTACGGAGAACCAGATCGATCACATTTGTATCAATAAAATGTTCATAAGGTCAATAGAAGACGTGTAAACCAGGAGTTTATCTGGTATAGCTTCAGGTCACCACCCGGTGGTTACCAAAATGGAGCTGAAGCTAAGGAGGGGTTGGACAACTGGACAGACAACACTACAAAGGTTCAATACAGCCTTCCTTGGAGAAACTGGCAAACTCAATGAATTTAGGTTAGCTATCAACAACAGATTCCAAGCCTTACACGGTCTACTCAAAGTAGAAAAAACTACTATGCAGGACAATTGGAATGCGGTTAAAGAAGCACTAATTTCAATGTGACAGAAGGTGCTAAGTCATCAAGAAGGTACAAGTATTTATAAGTAGTTGTCTACACAAGAAACTCAATGTCCGTTGACCGGATACCATCAGCAACAGCCTACTGTGGGAGAGAACAAACCAGCTTCCAGCTGAAGAGAAAATTAGGAAAAGATAATTGCAATGGATAGGACATATACTACGGAAGTTACCATACCGCATCACGGCCTTAGCACTAACTCGAAATCCTGAACTTACTTGCGCCTGTTACTTCTCACGAAAACGTGTGTACTATATCGTAAGTCAGGTTGAACGAAAACACCAGTTGATTGCGGTCGAGTGGAAACCGGTTTAACTGAACGCACTTCGTTTGTAAGCCTGCTCGTGTAAAATGTTAGA